GTTAAATATTTAATTTATAAACTATGACATTTATAAATGTATGAATCATATGATGAAAGGTGATTTGAAAAATAAATCTGTTCTTTTTTTCTTATAAAAGGCTAAATAAGACAAAAATATTGGTGGTAATTTTTGACTGTGTAACCTTACAAACTTATCTGTGGCACATAACCAATCATCAGAGACAAATTGAGCAGATCCAAAAGGGGGATATTATTAGAGGAAAAACCTCTTTGAACAGCCTGATTGGGGTAGGATCTAGCAGACGGTAATGGTTTGGATGAAGCTATTATTTTTGATGGTTCAGAGCTCAGCAGGACAAAAACTGTCCAAACATGGATCAGGTTCAAGTGACACTTCTAAATCTACCTCATCTGACAGGAAATCAGAGGCCATCTTGTTTCAGGTTGACTCCAAAAAATAACCAGCTGTAGATGCTCTTCCCAATCATTATCACATTCATGATGACCCAAACAGAAGACGTGTTAATGACAGAAAGCTTTTATAATGGGGTTTTTGATACCCAAAACGAACCAGATTCTAAGGTTAATGTTTATACCAGTTAAGGTAAAACATTTGTTACAAAAACAGATTTGTGGTTTTCTCTTTCTAATAATCTCGTTGTGTCTCTGTGTACTTGCTTGTGTTTGCTTGTTTCATGTTGTTCTGTGCACGTTCTCTTTGCTTCTGTGTGTACATATGCTTTCTTACAGGAGATGAACTCAACATCCGATCAGAATGAGTTGGACCACAGGTACTGTGTGCTGAAACTACAGAGATGTGTTGTAAACACTGGCTGGGGCAACACTACACCAAACATTTAGTTCCAACATACACTCTGCCCCAGCCTCTAGAGACTGATTTTAGATTCGTTATCTGGATTGCTTTGTTTTTACATTGCAAAGATATACAAAATATGTAACACATAACTAATTAAAGTGTGTCCAGTGCAGAATATAAAACTGATTGAGTGATTATTCAGTGAGACATTTTAGATTTGACTCTGTAGGACTCAAAGCTTGCTCCACTTCTCACTGTTTTCTCATGAATGTTACAGAGTTGGTTTTACAAAAACATTTAAAACCTGCTGTACATGATTTTGCTTTTGGAAAAGTAATTTAAAGCAAGTGAATTAAGGACAATACATTTTGTATATTTTGTCTAGATCTTTAGTCTAAGCCTAAAAGAATTATGAAGACTCCATTATATTAACGAATGGCTGCTATGTTGCATGCAAAGTTGTAAACACTGATCCTGTGTTACCAGGGTATGCTCAGAGTATGTGTTGGGGATGATTTTCAGCTACTACCACGCCAAATCTTCACTGAATAAAGAAAATGATTACTGTATTCATTCAAGTATAATACATAAAATGCAATCCATAAAATCATCCATAAAGTTGGGGGGGTAGTATATACTCAGATAAATAATTTTATTTATGTATTTTAACTGAAATATCAGCAAAATGCCTGAGTCCGGAAATGAGACCGCGTCATAAAAAGCAGCTGAAGCTAGCTTACCTCTGACACTCCTCCGTTCTTCAGAGCAAAATAATAACAGATCCAGGCAGGCGACATGATGTGGAAAAAGGGGGGAAGCAGTCCTGCACCTTAGTAATGATAACAAACTAATGACATTAGTGTGTAACCGGGCCGCTCCTCGAACAACAACAAACACGTGTTCGTCTGTAATGGCTGCCGTCTACCGGTGTTCTGAAAAAGTTTGTATCCCTGAAAAAATGTTTCCCCACCAGAGGGGGCGCTCACGAGTAGGAAGTAATCTGCTTTTCCCCCACAGGATGGCCCAAATCTCATGTGAAGTCTCTGACTTTTGTGTTGGCGCCTCCTGGTGGACGATGTGTAAAATGCCAGAATTCATATGATGCTGCTACAGCTGATATACAGTATATTTGTTGTCAACATACATTTTAGTACTTATGTTGTTAAAGTAAAATGAACAGTCCAATGATCATTTTACTGATATGTATAAAGACTSCAAAGGCTGAAAAATCTTGAAGCCTGTATGAAATTGGAGGTAGTTTGAGGATTCAATTTTTTATGCTTTTTAAGCTAAAAAAAAAAAGGGGGGGGGTTGTATTACATGAGATCGTATTATACACGGATAAATACGGTAAGTTAAAGCCGTTTGTGTATGTGCTAACCTGTTAACCAGCGGACCTAACCCTAACCCAAATTAAATTAAATACTGCTCCCGAAACCTTTAGTAAATTTACAAGCCTAGTTTCTATGTAAAGCTATCAATCTGGAATTTTAACTTCAGCAGTCATAATTTTT